TACACATCATCACATGGCTCCAACTAGAAATATGATTAGAAAGGACACAAAATAGTTTGGTTAGTTTCAGTTTAACCAAACTGAACTTGGGCAGCTTGATGGCATTGATATATTGCTACTACCACTAAAGTTGCTTCATGTAACTTCCATCATTCCTCTTTGACATCAAGGCTGCACATTCCAAGTGGTTCTCTTAATAGCTCGAACCTGAATTTTTGCAACCCCTTTATAAAAATGTCAGCTATCTGCCCCTCTAAGTTGCAATAAACTAACTAAACTTCATTTTTGAATCTTTCTCCTGGAATCAGTGAATTATTAACAGCTTTGCAACTCTTCATAGAAAACTCCTCCTGCATTGTAATTCTCCCAACCTTTGATCTTGTAACTTCTAAATAATTTACAGGTTTTTCAATGAACATATTACACCTTTCATAAATGTCAGCTTGTGTTCTGGTCCCTCTAATAGCAAAAACATCATCAAATTCATCATCATTCTCCTGCTCAAATTCATCAATCCCAAAATCAAATATTGGTTCATCATTTGCTACAAGAACCTGATCTGCAGCAACAATTTTTGAACTTTCCCAGTTTCAAGTTGCACTTTCATCAAATTCCTTGCTTTTTGCTCACATCAACAACACTAGCCTTTGGACTAATTTCAATTTGTTTCCATTGAATAGGAAAACTCCTTTCATTCATTCTAACAATGAACATTTTTTAACCAGATTCATCTTCTACTACACATATTTTGTCATGAAAACGAAGGACATAACCATGTTCAATCAACTGACCCACACTTATCATGCTATAGTTAATATTAGGCACAAACAGTACATCATAAATGTATTTGATACCTGTTTGTGTCTCAATAGCAGCTACTCCCTAGTCCCTTGCCTTTGACCTCCATCAGTTCTCCATTTCCAAGTTTGACTTTTGAATTGTATTTTCTGTCAAGGCTTTTGAATATGACTGCATTTGTGGCCATGTGGTTTGTACAACCACTATCAATCAACCAAGAGTCACAGCTTAAGATGGCTGCACTGCAATCTCCAGTCTTTGTAGCCATAAATAGATGCTCTTCCTCTTCAACAATTTATGCAATTTTGGCTTGCTGAACCTGATCTGAACCTTCTTTATAGACCCTTTCAACATGTCCAAACTGCTTGCACTTTTTGCATTGAACTCCAGGCCTAAACCAACAATATTTCTCGGAATGGCCTTTCTTTTTGCAATGAGAGCAAGATGCATAGCTCTCCTTTTTGTTGTTTTGATACCCTTCCTTTTCTCGGTTTCTTTAATCACCGAGCTGCTTGTTGTCATCATCTTTGGCTATTGCTTTATCTCTGTCATTTGCCAAATATGCTCTTTCAACATTGTTTTCAAGCCTTAAAGCCTTTCTTTGCTCCACGGCTTGCAAAGCATTGACTAATTCATTCAAGGAGAATTGAGACAGATCTTTGGAATCCTCCAAGGATGGGATCTTGTGCTCAAATTTCTCTGGTAGACTCACCAGAACCTTCTCAACTACTGCCTTATCAAACAATTCTTCCCACTGTAATCTTATCTTGTTCACCACCTTCATCAGTCGGTCAGAGAACTCCTTCATCGTCTATTGGAGAAATAGGGTAGAAAATCTGCAAACGGCTTCAAGGCGTGCTGCCAATGCCACTTTCCTTTAGGCTAATTTCCCCCCCACTAGATCTAGTATGCAAAAGGGGTAACCTAAAATGCCCGTAGGATACAATGAAGCACCTTGTTGATCTTACCTTTGCACTAGCAAGATCAACCACTGAACCATCCTTTGGAAAGCGACAAAACAATAGTTTTTGTACAGGGATTTCTACAGCAATCGAAGTGCAAAAAAGAGGTTGGTTTATTTAGATAATAGTAAGGGTTTGTTTCTGGGTTCAAGAGACGAAGAAGAATAAGAGATAACTTCACATTTATAGGGGCAAGATGATTGTTGTCTGTTGGGAACAAACGCTCCTTTTCAGTTTATTATCAGTTTATTAACGGATAATAACTGAGTTTTCATGAAATTTATCCATTGGAAACTCTTCCAAAATTCATTTGGTTTAATTTGAAGTCCAACTCATGTGTTTCCTTGCCTTCCAAAGTTATCAACTCTCTTCAGAAACTTATTAGAATTTTATCTCTTATTTCTGACGTAAATGGTTCGAACCCAATAAATGTGGTTCGAATCAAAATCGTAACTTTTCGGATTCTGGTTTTATGTAAATGGTTCGAATCATATAATTATGGTTCGAACCAAAATTACACTTTCTCAAGTGCATTCTATGTAATTGCTTTAAACCAACTTTTTGTGGTTCGAACCCAAATCCTAGAAATATTTTGAAAATTCTTCAACATCATCTCTGTATCCTTCATACTAATGAGCGTGAACTCTCTTTTCAGATTGAGAACCTCCATTTGTCTCGAATTGTTGTCGCCTTGGAACTCCACTTTCAGCTTGTCCCAGGCCTTTTTAGCTGTCTCACAAATCATGATTCTATTGAAAGTTTCATCAGTCACTGCTAAGTGAAGGCAGGTCAAGGCTTTGTATCTCTTTGCCACCTTCTCTAAGTGTCTCTTAATTTGAGAAAGAGTAGCATTTGGAGGAAGAGGAGCTGGTTGTCAATTTGTCTCAACCACCTCACAGAGTTCGAAAGCCCTTAGATATGCTTTCATCTTCATTGCCCAAACTGTGTACTTTTGGCCAGCAAAAACAGGGGTCTTTGCGGTGAAGTTGATGTTTGATTCCAATGCAACGAGGTTTAAGGTGTTTGGTGAATTTGGGTTTCACTCAAATCTCTCACAGTCCCTCAAGAACTCATGGCTCTGATACCATGTTCAGATATATCCCAAAGAAATGAAGAGAGACATTAAAGAGCTGAAATCAAGTTTCCATTTCAGTTTACCAGTATTTGTACATTAGACAATTTAAAATTTGAAATTCAAAAA